GCTGTGCTTGAGCTAACAGGACATGAGTTTCTAGCAGAGATGTCACGAAGGCTCCCTCCGGCTGGGGAGCTGGTGCTTGCTCCTTCACAAAGGAGGGCTTGTGACTAAATATAGGACATGGACAAACCTTAGGGCTATATTCTGTAAGGTACTGGGCATAAAGGAGATATACGAGGGAAAGGGACTAAGCTTTTCGTAATCCAATAGAAGAATTACGCATCTCATTTTACCAGAGGTACCTGAGGTCATCAAATTCTACAAAGGAACTCTCCTACACTGTCGGTGGGAATGCAAACCAGTCCAACCACTATGGAGAGGAATAGAGAGGTGTTGCACAACAGTAAAAATGGATCTGACATTTGACCTATTCCATTCCTAGGCATCTACCCCAAATATTAAAAAACAGTTGATAACACAGATTTTCTCTCTTTTCTGACCTCCCTGAGAAAGATTTCTACTCCAATCAGTTTTGTTATTTTTGCTTGTTTCAAGCTCTTTCACTTCATGGAGAAAGCGTAACCCAGTGACCAGGTCAAGGGCAGGGTGATCCAGTGGAACTATCAATGGTCCTGCTTAGAAATAGGAGATGTCTGGTCACCACCTTAGACCTCAGCATCCTTTCCACGTGAGGTGGATGGACTACAACAGGGATCAGGAAACATTTTCTGTAAAAGGGCTAGATAGAAAATATTTTAGACTTGGGGGCCATCATGGTCTCTGTTGCAAGCATGCAATCCTACCAGTATGGTGTGAAAGAAGTCATAAACAATGCATATACAATGAGTGGGTGTGGCTGTGTGCCAAAAACACTTTAATCACAAAAAACAAATGGTGAGCTAGGTTTGGTCCATGAACTATGATTTGCCAACCCCAGGAGACATTATTTCTTAAAAGTGTCCATGTAACTACAAACAGGCATGTGAAAAAAATGTTTACCATTGCTCATGATTAGAGAAATGCAAATCAAGACCATAATTTCATACACTTAGGAATGGTCCATACTGAAAAGATCAGAAACAACAAGTGCTGGTGAGGATACAGAGAAAAAGGAACACTCCTACACTGTTGGTGGGAATGCAAACTGGTCCAACCACTATGGAGAGGAATAGAGAGATGTTCCACAACATCAAAAATGGATCTGCCCTTTGACCTATTCCATTCCTAGGCATCTACCCCAAATATTCAAAAATACTAATTTGAAAGAAAATTTGCATTCCCATATTTATTGCAGTAGTATTTACTATAGCTAAATTATGGAAACAACCTAAGTGCCCCAAAACAGACGAGTGGATCAAGAAGATGTGGTATACATACACAATGGAATACTACTCAGCTATCAAAAAAGATAAACTCATATCATTTGTGGTAACAAGGATGGAGCTGGAAGGGATAATGCTAAATTAAGTAAGTTAGAAAAAAAGGATAAGTACTGGATGATGTTGCTTACATGTGGGATACAAAGTAACTAAATTAAGAGTCAGATAAAGACTAGCTTACAAACTAAACTTTGATAGCTGATTACAGAACTGAAGCCCAATAGGGGAAGCACTGGAGGAGGGGTAAGATCAAAGGGACAAGGAAGCACAATAGCCTATATTGGGGGACTATGGGTGAGTTGGTGGGGGGTACAATACAGTAGTAATATCTGATAAGTGTATCCAAATATTACCTCAATTAAAAAAAAACAAGGATTAAACGTAAAAAAAAGAAATGAAAGAAATAACAGATCAGATGCTACTCATCTAAAAATGGAGCTCTTTGGGGGTGTTGCTTGGGTCTAGACCACCAAAGGAGTTAGCATGGGCACTGGCCTGCCCCCCAGAACACTTGGCACAGCCTAGGCCTACTTCACAGAGGACAGCTACAAAACAGGGCAAAAAATTTGATCACATGGCTTGCTTAGCCAGCCTGGGTCTACTCTGCATGGCCAAACCTCTACTGGGCATTTCCATGTCTATGTTATGTACTCAAGGGCATGAGAGCAACAGGGGCTCACTAGCCCCAGGTCTTCATCTCTCTGCTATGGAAAGTGGGGTCTAGATGGACTCACATGTGTGTTGCTCAGTCACATCTCGAAAGTCGAAGCTGTGGTTTGAAATGTGATCATCACCAGTGTCTGATAGCTCCACCATAATTTCTGGAATAGACTCACCTACTAGGAAGCACAGTGCTTGAGCCTTAATGGAGAAGAGTCAGCTCTTTTACCTATGACTTTTAAAATCCAAAATCTCCTGTTTGCTCTTCCTTCTACAAAAATATCTGAATCAAGGTTCATGAGTTATTGTCCATGTGCCAGACAACCGGGGAGTCCTCTGAATCTGCTGCATTTCTACTCTCAGAGATGGGAGAAATTAAACATGGGATTCTTATATTAACTGGCTACAACAGGGTTGGCAAGTGGCTTTCATCCTATATATCAACCACCACCATGCTTGGTGGGAATGTTAAAATGAATTGTAAGGCAGCACCTGGGCTAAGTGAAAAAGAATGTCATGTTTGATCAGGGATAGCTGGGCAGTGGGCAGTGTGTTCAACATATATTTCCATCCTAATCTAGAACATCTGTTAGCCTCAAAATAGGGTTTATTCATTAAAATTCCTCACTATTGATTTCTTTTAAAGAATGTCAGATTAATGCTCTCAAATGTTACTTTTACAACATCATTCTCCAACTTAAAATGCTCTAAAGAGCTGTCCCAATTTTGTATATAGTAAATTGACTCCCTTAGTCTAATAACCAAGGCCCTTCATAATTTGATGACACTTACTATTCTAAGTGCCCAGTAACTCTGCAGAGAATCTCCTTTCTGGTCTCCCTGTCCCTTTTAATGTACCCAGAGCACACAGTGACCTGAGAGGAACACCAATAAATAGGAGCCAGAGATGGGAGAAGCAGGTCCTAATGGGAGCAACTGTACTGACAGATACGGATGACTTAATAGGTGGCAGGCTCAAGGTGGAGGAGGCTATTAGAATGCTTGTGATGAGTGTCTGAGTCAAAAGAGAGTCTCTGGCTGAGACTTGCCCCTTTTGATGATCTAGTTTCTAGTCCAGTTTAGTGGTCCATCATCAATTTAAAAGCAGTGGTATTTTACAGCTGTTTCTGAACAGGTAATTGCTACACACACCAGACATTTTTATTTCTAAGCTTATGGCATCTTCATCACCTTGACTACCTGTTTCTCTTCCTTTCTGCCTATTTGAATCCCACCCATGCTTCAGAACTCAGCTCCAAAGCATTGGCAAGATTGGTCTGTCTCAGTGACCTACTTTCTGATCCTTGATGTCAGTCCCTAATTCATCTCCACAATTAACATAGGATCTTTCCTCATGTTGGCATTCATCACTACAGTCCTGTTGGCCTGGATAGTGACATTCAGGGTCTTTTTAGATATTGACTTGCTGTCTCATTCAAATGCAGCAGTCTAGATGTGAGCTGGGATACTGAGGCAAGTATGACCTGTTAGATTTAAATACCAGTCTAAGGTAACAAAGCACCATAAACTAGCAATGGAATGCAGCAACATAAGGCACAATAAATTCTTATTGCTCATGGCTAAAATGAGACAAAACATTATTTCAGAGTAAGAAAGAGAGTAAAACTATCATAGAAAAATATGAGCAGGTTAACTTTTCCAGCATGCTGAAAGGTACCTGAGTGACCCAACGAGTTATTGAACTTGAAAAATGAACAATTGCTGTATAGCTTATAGTGGCTGGACTATGACTAATAGTATAACAATTTCTCAGAGCAACGCGTCTAAAATAAAAAGTTTATCACACACATATTTAATTTGGAATAAGTTTACCATCCATAAGTCTAAGAAAATATACCATTTGAAACTGCTATGAATTCTGATCAACATGACATGGAAAATCTCAATGCCAAGCTTGTATAAGTTATGGGAAACAGAATAGAGCCACTTGTTACTCTGCTTATTGTCACAGAAACCAGAAATAGGAGTATCAGGAGCTTTTTCCATATACTCATAAGCTAGAACCACTCTTTGCTAATTTCAGAAGACAATAAAAATTGTATAACCTTTCTGTGTTATATTTCTAAAGATACCAGGCCCTGTGACCATGTTGATACGTCATCTGTAGTATGACTAGCCTCCTGTTCTTGCTACTTGGTAGGGAGAAGAGAGAAACTTTCAACTTTGAGCCAAGAGAATAGTTCCAGCTACCATTACCAAGAGCTGGGGTCATATAGAGTTAGTGGGACCATTTTATAGGCCTGTTTTATTTTTTCCCTTGGGCCCTTTGAAAGCAGACGAATTCTTGGACTTGACCATTTGCAGAGGTTATGACAGGGACATAGAGGTTCCTCTGACATCTCCATGATCCCGGTGTGAGGGCTCAGGATGTGGATACATACACAATTACCTACACAGCTCTGCCACCAGAGTGACAGCCACGTGGGCATTAACTTGGTGGGGGGTTCCTAGTGACAGATGTCCAGGAAATCCCACCTGATGAAGTTAACACTTGCCTTGTGGCATCTGTCTGGGTTGGTTTTGGGCCCTACTTTCAAAAGGCTGGCCTAAACAGACTGTCTACCTTTTGAGGGGTGTTGACATGGCAGCTTTCTCCTTCAAAGTTGATTATAGCCCTAGTTCAGGTGGGAGGAGGTCATGGGAGAATACTAGGATAGTGTTGGCAAGGGGAGGAGGCACTGGAGCTATTCTTTACTGCTGTATCTTAAAGTTCAGTGAGTCAATCTGATTGAGGGGAGCTGGACTGTGGCGTCAGCCCAAGAGGATTCGGAAGGGAGCCACGTTGGAATCGAGACAGGCTAGATTCCAGACTAAGAACTGCACTCACCTCATATGGAAAGCCAGCCAAGTTTCCACTGGTGAGTCTGGATTCTGTAGGCAATTTAGTGATTTCCTGTTGGCCACCCCCTACTGCTGCCTCCCTCCCACCTGCAAGCGGTCACCCATCCATAAATCCTGTCCAGCCCTGGATTTTGGCCCAATGTTCCAGAGGGTTGGACTCACCAAGGAGAGCGGAATTCCCAGGATCCAGGACCAGCTGTGTTCCCAGAGGAGACATCAGCACCGATGGAAGGTTTGGTCCAGTGGCTGAGAGCAAGGCCTTGATGTCTTCCAACTGCGCAGGGACTTGAGGGGGATCTGTGAGAAGGCACATGGTGGTAAGTCAGGCAGGTTAAAGCATGAAGGCCACATTTGAGAGCGAAAGGTGGCAGCAAGAAGTGCCTCTGTGTATGTGGCAGGCATTAATATCATTGTCTTCTATTATCACTTTCCTATAGAGAAGGTGGGCCTAGCAAGGTGATTCTGAATGTCAGACTTAATATTTGCTGCCTGAAACAATGAGGTCAGTAGCAAGAATCAGGCATGCTGACTTCAGGACTTCCTTGCTGTGTCCCATCAGGTCCCCATAAATGTGTAGGCAAATTAAACCATATATATAAAAACACATTTAAATATCCAATACTTCTTTAGCATTTAATGTATGCCAAACCCCATGCTGAATTGTTTTCATTTTTTTCCCAGCTGTTTTAAAAATAATTGACATACATCACTGTACAAATTTAAGGCATATAGCATAAAGGTTTGGTTTACATATATTGTGACATGACTACCACAATAGTTTCAGTTAACATCTATTTTCTCATGTAGGCACAATGAAAAAGAAAGAGGAAAAAAAGAAATGAAGAAAAAAAATTTCCCCTTGTGATGAGAACTCTTAATTTTCCTATATATCATACAGCAGTGTAAGCTATAGTATTCATGTTATACCTATTCATTTTTTCCCTGTAACTCTTATCCTTTATATGGAAGCAATTTGTTATTGTCCCCACATATAGGAATACACCACAGGAATTTATTACTAAAAAGAAATCTATAAATCTATGAAAATGAATCTCCATGAAGAAAGTGGTCCAGCTGAGAAGCTGCGGTTGAATTTTTAATGCCCAAGTAGGACCTAGACAAGCAGGACAGGGATTGTTTGTTATTCAAAATCTTATAAGGAGTCAGGGAGGAAGCCATCAGGGGTCACAATTAAATAGAGCCCAAGGTGACAAAAAATGGGACACAGAGTGTCCTCCTTATCATTTCCACTAGAGAATAAGAGTCAAGAGCCTGTTGAACCTAGTGGTGGGATGACCCTTTATTCTCCTGGAAAAGCAGCAGAATCCCTTTGCCCCCCCTCTTTCTGCATCTCTTAACACACTGCAATTCATGCTCTAAGACCAGCTCCCACATTTTCTTCTACAGAATTGGATGGAATGGAAAGCGAAGCAGGAGCAATGCTCTTGAGATGGATGGTCATTACAACATGGCTTAGCGAGGACCTACTATGTGCTTGTCCCCTCATTAAGTAGTTATAAGAGATAACAAATAAGTCGTGATGGCATCTGTGTCTACTTTAAAAACTTATCTGTTTCCTCTGCCTTTCATTAAAGAAAATAATGATGAGCTTCAGATGTTTCATGTAACTATAATAATCAAAAAGTATAAAGATATTATATTATATATATATAAACACTTTAAATGGTTGAGAGAAAAGACAGCATGCTTAGGGTCAGTGCAAACTGTGGCTCTGTCATCTACTAACTTGGGCTAGTCACTTGATCCATTTGAATATAAATTTCTTCATCTTATAAATTGATGAGAAACCTGAAATACTTTGATTTTAAAAGTTTATGGTGGCTTTATCTAAAGACTATGCGTCATAAGTGCAAAACACCTACATGTTATATAGTACTTATTGCCACACTATTTACAGTAGTTAGGTCATGGAAGGAGACTAAATGCACTTGATAGATGTTTGGATCAAGAAGATGTGGTATATTCACACTTTGTAATACAAAGAAAGATGAAATGCTGTGATTTATAGAAAAATGGTGGGAATTTGAGGGCCATTATGTGTAATAAAGCAAGTCAGAATGACAAAGAAAAATATTAGACATCTACACAGAGAATGGGATAAGGGAGGGTGATGAGTAAAAAAAAAAAACAAGAGGGAAGGTCTTAGTTATCTGAAATATCATTATGGCTATTTTGTTGAATTTCTGTGTATGCCAGTTATAATCATTGCTTCAAGACCATATATCATGACTAAATCACATAACTGAAAAATATTTTCATGGTTGGAAGTTTTGGATGGGGTAACATTATTAAATTATTACTGGGATAGTTTAAAATAACTTCAAAATTTTTAGTGTTGAGCCAGAATCTTCATTTATATATAAAGGATTTCATTCATATTTCCAATACTATATATATATCTACAGATAGAGGCAAGGAAGAGCAAAAGTCCTCATGTACTTAAGTTGAGAAGATGGGGGTGAGGTGGAGATATGGGGAGAATTTCATATTTAAAAAGAGAGTGAAAAGAAATGTTCATTTTTATAGAATGAGGAAAATGTCTTTGTTCCTATTTTGAGAGTCATGTACCCAGATGGTAGTTTATACAATTCAAGATTCTTCCTCCTACTCTTCTTAATATTCCCTTAAGACTACTGAAATTAAATTTTGAATATTGAGGGAAATCAAATTTCTTCAAAAATACTGAAATTGAATACTTCTTCAAGAATATTGAAATTCAAGGAGTGTTTGCTTGTTTACTAAGAGTCAAAAGGGGAGGCTATATCCCATCTTCAAAACCATTGGATGTCTTTGGTCTAAATATTGGCCCCTTCTAATTTACAGCTTCTGTATGTGGGTTTTTTGGATACATCTCCACTTGATCTTCCTATAAATTCTCCAAAGATAGAGCTCACTTCCTGTATTTCTCCTAAGCACTACATGGAACTTAGAGGTAACACTTATTATTTTTTTTAAAGGTTAACAAAAGGTTTTTTTTTTTTTTTACAAGGGAAGGTGAATGAGGAAATGTATAACTCAGGGAGAAAGGAGGGAGATAAATTCTTAAATGTGTCCTATCTGTTCCACCGACCTGGAATTCCAAATGACCCATGAGACCAAACCTGCCTGGCCAAGAGCATGAGCCAAGTGTGCCCGACCCCGCTAACATGGCTGGTTTTTATTTACAAACAGAGAAAATGGCTGCTTAACTCCATCCTTAGGTCCTCGCAACTTCCCTTTGGGGATCTTGGGATTTGTAGTTCCCGGTGTCTTGATGGAGTCGGGGTGGCATCTACAAAGCCTGTATGGAATTAGCTCAGGACATCCACTCCCCCTAATAATTCCCCCCTTTCACTTTTTGCAACCATTTCCATGGTGTTGAAGATCCAATGTATGGATGCTGGGGTACAGTCTGAGAGGTAACACTTAATAGTTATTCATCCACTGGCTATATGAATAAATGTCTTATTGCATTTAAGTCTCCAGACTTACAGGTAAAGTCCCAGAACTCCATATGAAACAGCTTTCTATACAAAGTTTCCCTCCCCCTTTAAAAATTAAGACACTTTAGGGCTTATTTTAAAGAGGAGACATTACTTCTATGCTCATAAACTATCTATATAAATAAACTTTGATTAGTAATCAAGACTGCTATCAAGCAAGGTCTGACACTGAAGAGTGAAAATAGTGGCTTTCCCCACCAAGTCTGAATAAAATGGAAAGATGTTACACACTCTTCAAAATCCATGTTCACAGTCACACTGTATTAAAGTAGAACACTGTCAGACAAGCTTGTAGGACACACATGCTTCAATGGTGGGGCTACAGTAGCAGCCACACAGCCCAGCCTTTCCTCTCTGCTAGCAGAGAGGACACTGAAGGGCTTCAGGGAGGAGAAAACCATCAGCAAGCACTATAATTCAGTGTGGGGCAACAGTCTCTGGGCCTGGGGCTCCATAATGGCAGCTGAGCTGCATGAAACCCAGCACAAAAGAAATGACATCCTTCACTGAGCTGATTTCTGAGGCTTCCTAAAGTGACTGAGGGTTTATGCAACCACTGGTGAGAAGAAAGTACATCTGGGGGCCTCTCTGGTGGTGCAAGGGGTTAAACACTGCACTATGAAGTTATCTGCAGCCTCTGCAGCATGAGTTCGATGTCCGGCCAGGGAGAAACCCACATGGTGCATCAGACCTCTCCTATCTCACCTGCTGCTTCCCTCAGCAGTGTATTTCGGTCAATCTGCCTGTTCTGTTCCCCACTCTGTCTCTGGTGAATCCTCTCACCCCCTTGCATCTCTGGCCTATACCCCAGCTCTTGTATGCACAAATAAATAAATCTTAAAAAAAAAAAAAAGAAAAAAAAGAAAGTCCATCTGGGTCTCTCTGAAACCTGAGTGTGCAAGGGCCAGAGACCCTGCGCTTTGGTATATCATTAAGTTGGTGTGTGAGAATACATGTGTAAAGTTTAATTATTTTCCTCTGAGGAAGTCTATAAAATATGTATGTGTATATATGTGTAGTACATAACTGTTTACATTTGTCATATTTCCTTTTTTTCCCCCTTGGAATGATAATTTTCTCCTGGTGAGAAAACTAGCACAACATATGGAAGGGTGAAGGTGTGTGCCCCAAATTACAGTTATGTAAATGATTGGCAAATCAACAAAATTAAAAAGAAGTCTCAAAAAAGAGAAAGTTAGCATAAGTGCTCTAATAATTGTCTTTTCTTAAAGACAAAACATAAGTTTTTTACTCTATTTCTATCAACTCATAGACTGAGTGGGAAGAGAAGCAGAGGGTCCCTAATTTATGGGACAAAAAAAAGTCTACAGATCGTAACATGGCGGAGTCTAGCACTGGACAAGGGCAAGTGTTAGATGGTATCTCGGTAATTGCTGTCATTTTAAAGTAACTTACTTATGCTAGGAATTGTGTTACACTCTTAAATCAGGGGTTTTATGTTTTGGGGTCTTATGGTTTACATGTTTGTGTCTTCCCAAATTCATGGTGAAATCCTAATCATTCCATGGGGTGATTTATCAGATGTGAGACTTTGAGGAGGTGATTAGATCAGAGGACAGCCCCCCTAAAATGGAATTAGAGTTCTTCTAAAAGAGAGTGCAGAGAGCTGGCCCATCCCTTCTGTTATATGGGGACCTTGCAGGAAGCCGGCAGAGGCAACATGGACGAAGGTCCTCCCTAGATCACACTGGTGCTCTGATCCTGGACTTCCAGCTGCTAGACGTGTGAGAAATAAATTTCCGTTGTTTATAAGTTAAGCAGTCTGTGGTATTTTGTTACAGCTGCCTGAATGGACAAAGACCGTGTGTGTTTGTGTGCATGGGTGCACATGTGTGAACTTTAGGGGGATTAAACCACGAACTTTCTGAAATTATATGAAAAATTTCACATGTATGAATTTTTCTAGAGGGGGTAATCTACAGTTTCCATATGCTTTTTTAAAGAAGCACCTAATGTAGGAGGAGTAAAAAATAATAGCTTTAACTCTATTAGCTCTCTTTGACAGGACCCTCCCCCACTCCTGATATGGATAATCCTTATTTTGCAGGTTTCTGCATACAGACCAACATCTGCGTCTAGCAAAGTTAAGTAACTTGTCCAAGGTCACATGGTGGGTAAGCAGTAGAGCCAGCATTATCTGATGTCTTCCTGGACCAAAAGCCTGTGCTTTATCAGAAGCTCTAAGATGGAGAGAAGTGAAAGGCTATTGATTTTACCTTTATGAACTTAACTTGATGGGGGTAGGTTACCCAGCCACCCCCAACTGGGTCTAGAGGAGGCAGCCAACCTCCAGATGTTTACCTAGGATCAGTAGCTGGGTGTTCTCAGTCAGCTCCCCATGCAGATTGGCTGCCCGGCAGGAGTACAGGCCCTGATCCGCGGAGGACACATCTGTGAGCAGCAAGGAGCCCTCGTGCAGCTGTTGAGGGGATCCCAGTTTGCTTTTATTCCTGAACCAAGTGACTTCAGCTTCAGGTACACCTAGGAAGAAAAACAAAAAAAACAAAACAAAAACCTCATGACTAAACACATTCGGAGGTTGCTAGTGAGGCATTTGCAGTCCCTTGGCAGACATCTGCCTGGGAATCTTCTACCATCCTTTGGCTAAACTAATATCTTGGATATGTCCATAAGTAAAAATAACTAGGACATCAATCTATGCTGTTAATAGGAAGGGCGGTGGAAGAGGCTTGGCCTCTTAGCGGGTGGAAGAGGCTTGGCCACTCATGATGTGATGCTATTTATTGGCCTGGGCTGATTTGGTATCTTTATGATGTATGTATTTTCTGTAGAAGTACTATACTTCAATAAAAAGATAAAAGCTATAAAATGCTAATACACACACAGGTACACCAGACAGACACAAGTTGCTAGGTTCTTATCAGAGTTGGCACTATATATATATATATATATCTATATATCTATATATCTATATCTATATCTATATCTATAAATAAAACCTATACATTTTCTTACAATAAGAGAACACAAGACTATGGTATCAATAGCACCATAGAAAAAGATAGAAAGAAAGTACTCTGCTTCCTCCTCAATCCAAGTTATTGTGAGAGAGAGAGAGAGAGAAAGAGAGAGAGAAAGAGAGAGAGAGAAAGAGAGAGAGAGAGAGAGAGAGAGAGAGAGAGAGAGAGAGAGAGAGAGAGAGAGAGAGAGAGGGAGGGAGGGAGGGAGGGAGGGAGGGAAGGAACTGGGGAATTGGATGGTATGTCTTTGGGAATCAGGCTCTGTCCTCTAGGGGTATTATGGACTGAAGGTTTAAGCTCTCCCCCATCCCCAAGTTGATATGTGGGAATCCTAACCCCAGTTAGGTGGTAGTAGGAGGTGAGTATATAGGATCAGATCTGGTTATGTGATGAGGACATTAGTACACTTACAGGAGGAGAGCAGAGAATTAGCTCTCTATCATATGAGGGAACAGCAAGAAAACAGCTGACTTAAGGCAGAGAGAGAGGCTCACCAGGAGCTGAATGTATGGGCTGGCAACTTCATCTTGGAATTCCCAGATTGCAGAACTGTGAGAAATAATCTTCTTTTAAATCACCCAATCTATGGTATTTTATTATAGTAGTCTAAGTAGATCAAAACAAGGAGGCAATCAAATTCCTTAGGAAATTTCCCTGTGATTTACATGGTGAAGCAGAGCCCAGCTAGGACAAGTCTCCTAAGGTGGTCTGCATAGGAGGTCGAGCTCTGAGTGAGTGAGGAAACAAAAAGTCTGTGGGATTAATCCAAGTCTCTGGGAAACATAAAGCACCAGCCCTTGTACCTCCTAACCACTGACCCAGCTCACAAAGCTTACTCAATGAACTCTTGAGCACACATCCAGGGCATGTTTAGAATGTTAAATCCTGGTAGATAGGAGACAAAGCCAGGAGCAGTCAAAGAGTGAGACCTTTTCATTTGGCAGCATGGACAGTGCTGCCCTTAGTAGACAGCCTACCATTGAGGACACAGATGCCTTCAGGGAATTGCCCCTGTACCTATTACTTGTCCTTCAATCTAATGAACAAAATGACCTTGCAGTCTACTCTGTAATACCCAGCTCAACAGCCCTCATGATGGTCCATAAGCACCTGCTATTCCCGAGCTCCCAGTGATAGGAAGTGGGGTTGGGCTGGGAAGATGGCCTCATGTGTCCTCACTAACAGTGAGCTACTTTGTGCGATTTACTAGTGTCCTGACTGCTTGGCTACCTGGGGTAGAGTTTCCCAGGCTTAAAATGGTGGCCTAAAGTGGTTGCCAAGTGTCTGGTCAATCTATAGGCCCTTTCTTCCTGTTATCCTCAATGATTGTCAGATCTTTTCTTATATTCAGATTACCCTTAATTCAGTGTGAATCACCAGGGAGTACCATACTGGCTGGAAGAGGAAGGCAACAGAGAATTGGATATGGATCCTTGTTCCATCAGAGAAGCCTGTACAATGATGCTCAGGTGCATGAGCAGGGTTGGTTGGGTCTTTAAATTGACCTGGAGAAAAAGATGTAGGTGAGAGGCAGAAAAGTTAATTTTTCACTCTAGCACCACTAGGGAGAGCAAGAGCATCATGATGCCCAGGCATGCCAGTTTGGACATTGGACTCTAACCTCAGTTTTTACCTGAAACAAACAAACAAACATAATCCACAGCATCAGAAGAAAGTCTCTGAAAATAAGTTGAAGAAAACATTCCCAGTCACTTCTCCCCGAAATAGCACAAGGAAAAATGAGATTCTACAAATGCTTCAATAAGATTTCTACAAGTATTTCCCTTGCAACACATAGTCCTTGTCTCCTGCACCTGCCTTTGGGGAAGGGCTGTGGGTAGCAAGCACGTAGTCCCCAGTAGGAACTAAGGCTGTTGCAGAGCAAGGGAACTGGACTAAAACAGCCTCAGTTTCACTGACAAAAGGGTGATGGCTAACTGCACAAGGGAGCGAGTGGTCCATCTACATGCAGATGGAGTGTACAGTGTGTGTGTGTGCAACACAGACAATCCTGAAGCAAGGCAACCCACTGCTCGCCATGTGTCCTTCTCTTGTCAGGGTCTGTGCTCCTGCAGGGCAGTCTGCAAAGAGATACAGGGAGGAGAAAATGAGGTGGGAAGGGGAGGATGAGGAAGGGGGAGGGAGAAAACCAGGGAAGGAGCGAGACCTGGCAGCTATCTCCCGCTTTCCCAGGATGTAGCTATCAGCTTCTTCCAGTCCTGTCATCACTCTTTGATTCATGCCTCCGTGAGCTCAGGTCTGTAACCTCCAGCTTTGTTAAAGTAGAGCCATAGAAGTGACAGCAGCGCCAAGAGAAGAGAAACTATGTAGGAACTGGTCTTCCATATATTATTAGGGAAGCGCTCCCAGAGGCACTCGGGCCCATGGGCCTGCAACACGCATCTGCCCATGGAGGACTTAGTATGGTGTCACATTTTAGAGGCTTCCTGCAAGTGGGACTGGTAGGCTTTAAGCAAAGAATGACACCAAAAAGATGTATTGGATTCTTCTCAGTCCTTCCATGACTTGCTCTGACATATTACAAACAGAGTGAGAACAAGGGAAGAGGAAAAATAAATGAGGCATCATAGAAGTCTTTTTTCTTTTTCTCTCACGATTACAATGACAGGCTAGAAAACATCACCATTCATTGTGTGTGCCAGAGTCCCTCAGAAAAGTACCAGGCAGATTTGCCTAACGTGACCTATGGCATACCCAAACACCGGAGTACACAGAGGCAAAGATATCCTGACTATGCTCAAGGGAGGAGAACATTTACTGAATGGGTGCTATAAGCAAAGGATTTTATAGATATATAATCACATTTTCACAGTAATCCTATAAGGCACTATTATTAATTCCATTTCACCAGTGAGAAAAGTAGCACTAAAAGAGATTAAGAAATCTGCCTAAAGTCACATTAGTTTGGGTCCCTGAATGATTACTGGGGATAAAGTCTCTGTTTCCTGATATTCCTCACCCCGTGGCCAATCAGTGACCTACACATAGCAAGGGGGGGATCCAAACTCACACACTTGATGCCCTGCAGGCTGTCTTAGCAACTACACAACACTACCTGCCATCTACCAGACAAATTCTTTAGAGAAGAGCTGAGTCACTGTACAGTTGTTTCTGAACTGTGAAATCCTTAAGTGTTTTTTACTTTCAGAATTAATCTTTCTGTTGTAATTGTAACAGCAAGATTATTGTTAGGAGGGAGGTTTCCAGAACCCATGTGCGCTGGCTGTGTTAGCTCTTTTCTTGTTGAGAAGCTCAGTCTTAGACTGTGGAAGATTGCTTTTTTCTAGCCTGTTGTGATGTGACAGCACATTCTACAGAAAGAAATGTCTGAAAAATGACAGAAAATACACTCTACCACAGAACAAAGTCCAAATCGATGCTGTTGACAAATGACTTGGACTGGTTCCATGCTCTGGACTCCTGCTATGCTTTGTGTCTAAAAAAGGGAAGGAAAAGAAACCTGACTTACTTTCCCCCCCTTTGTGGCATATCTTATCAACAACACAATACTCTCCCTGTGGCTTGAAAGGATCAATAAATGAGTCTGGGCATAATGGGTTGTAAGTTGATATCATTAAAGGATTAGTGCCTCTAATCTCCACTGAGCTGCCAGGTATGGTGATGCTACATTATTATTTTAATCCCAGACAGGATATTCTTCTTAACTAGACCACTTGTTCTATTTGGAAGGCTGCTTGCTCTATGGCAGCTTGTCAACATCTCAAGGTGGGGCATCCACTGAAAGGTGCATCTTGACAAGATAAATTCTAGAATTTTCTTTGATGGCTTAAGGCAAGAAAAGGAATGGATACACTAACTTAAATGTCAGCCTTCTACATTTTTCCACATAGATTGTGGCAGATACTGGTAGTTGTTCACAAAACCAGTCTTCTTCTTTTTCCTGGGCACCCAGGTAGGGTACCTCCCTTTTAGTTGTAATTGACCATGTGACTAAGAGGGAATGTGAGAACTAGTAATGTGTCCTTTTTTCAGGTGTGGTATTTAAAAACCTTCCCAACCATCTTCCACACTATTCTTTCCCTCAGCTGGTTGACAGCATAGAAATAACCACCAGGGAGTCCCTGGAAGGCGTGTGTGCAACAGAACAGAGCCAGCATTTTACAACATTCTATGTGAGGCAGCTGACCATGAACATTCTGGGCTTTTAGGTAAGCAGTAGCAAATTCTAATGTGTTTGACCCACTACACATTTGGGGGTCAACCTAACTAAGAGTCTACCCTACCCTAGCTAATATGCTGTGCATCATTTATTCTTTAGTTATTTATTTCTACATCATTAGTCCTGACAATTTTATCTCAAAAGTTAGTCCTTTAAAAGCTTCCCTTGCCCTTAGGATACATCCCAAATTGTACAATGATCTACTATAATATATAAGACCAAGCCCTTACAGTATATAAGACCACTGCCCCCCATGTCCCTGCCACTTTTTTCTCTGCTCACTGCACTATAACCACACCAGCCATATTTTACTCCTTCAGATAGAACGTGTTCTTGCTACCTCTCTCACTTCCTTTGCACATCCTGTTCCCCAGGTCTGAAATATCCCCTCCTTCTGCAACCCTTTATCTCTTACTCAGTTTTTTGAACTCTTATCAAATAGACAACTGTGGGAGTTGGACAGTGGACTGGATTGCTTTTCGAGAGAGAGCTGTCATATTCAAAGCTTAATACCTTGTATGCTTAAGGGTTGGAAAAAATCTGTGAGGCTGCATTTACAAGTAGAAAGCATACGTGTGCAAAAAGTTATTTAAGGAAAAACTGCTAACAAGGAAACATGTAAGGACACAAGTTACTCTTTGTAATTATGTCATATTCTTAAAGTAGCCTATTCTATAACCAGTAAGGGAGCCCAAAGAGGCACTTGTGGCAGCAAAGTAAAGCAATTCCTTCTGTCATTAGAGCTATCAGTATTTTGGAGACTCACAGTTAAACTACGTAATCAAAATCAGGATCTTTTACCACACACATTGAATTAATATCTTATTTTTAAACGAGGACAATGGAGTGGATTTAGTTTATTACCCATGATTAATAAAGATGAGTCTATTCATAAAAATAAAAATAAGGACTATAATGTACATGGCCAGGCAGAAACTGGACGTAACAGCCTAGATCTCACTTCAAGGTTGCCAAGAGTGAGTCTCTGGATGAAGTTGGAGAGACAGACACCCAAGGAGAGTTGGCAAAAGCTGGTGTAGTACGTGGGACTCCCCATGGCTCTCCCTGGATTCTGGTTCTCTCAGAATCTGGTTCTTTCTTTAAATTCCCAATTCCTCATGTTACTGCCTTTGGCTCCCCATTCTTTTACTCCTTCCAATCCCAAGTCTCAAGAGCATACCCCAAATGGCCCATTATATCCAGTCAGTGTGCATCTCGCGCAGGCACTCGGTGAGCTGGTGGGAGCAAGTGCTGGTTCTGCCCGAGACTCTGGTCCCTGCAGGGAGGGGCAGCACGTTCAGGGGTCAGGATTTCTCTCTCACTCCCCAGATGGGAATACAGGGCTGCAGGGGTTTGGGTCTAGGTTTCATTGAGGAAGTTGGACACGCAAGTGTAGGGGAGATTTACAAAGAAGAAACTCATGTGTGATGACAGAGATAGATTTACATTTCTGGCTTTCTGGAGCTACCAGAATATTTTAAAGAAAACAGACCTCACTGTTCTTTGCAAACAACACACTTTAGGTTAAATTTCTTCCAACTTATTTTAGGATGAGTTCTCTGGCTTTAAATCTCCATGGAGATAGATCCTCTGATGATGGACTGAGATCTGATGAAGAAGCCCCAGAACAGGAGATGCCACAGTCTCCCCACCTGCAGACAGGGAGTGACAGGGGAGCCCTGGTTTGGGTGCACCACAAGAGAGTCCAGGGCTGCACCTTGGCACAAGATACCCTCCCTTCTTTCCATTGTGCGAGTGAAAACCCTTAGGATCAACATCACAATGTCTGGTGCACAGAAAGGGAGACTTAGCAGTTAGGCTTTTTGCCTCTACATTTGGTGTTTTCTGTTTTCTTAATGGATGGTAAATATCTTTATAAAGAGCTTACCAGCACCTCCTAATGTCCATCATTCCCCCACTTCCTGTGCCTTTCTTTTTTTAAATTTTTTTAAAAGATTTACTTATTTATAAAAGAACTGGGGTATAGTCAGAGACACGGGAGGGTGAGAGGATCTACCAGAGACAGAGCAGGGAGCAGAACAGGCAGACGGACTGAAGACACTGCTGAGGGGAGCAGGGGGTGAGACAGGAGAGGTCTGCTGTGCCATGTGGGTTTCTCCCTGGCCAGCTGGGAATCGAACCCGTGCTACAGAGGCTGCAGACAGCCACACAGGGTAGTGCTCAATCCGCTGTGCCACCAGGGAGGGCCCTCCTGCCTTTGCAAGGCTGACGGGAAGACAATGTCTATGTCACAACTCCAACAGTCCTCGAGTTTTTCTTGATGGCTCTGACCCACTTCTGATGTGGGCAGGGGCCTGGGTCCTGTGGTTCTCACCTCCACCATTCACTCACTCCTCACCTTTCTCCCACCACTGCCCTGAGTTTTCACATGGTAGTGGCCTGTTTAGTTTTTAAAGAAATGGCTCTATTGTTTTCAACCCTAGTTGAATCCTTTCACATTCCCTAGTTTCTCTGTGTCCTTGCCACTGTTTAATGCAATCACTAGTTTTAATTTTAGTCATTATGGTAGGTGTGGAGAGAGATCTCCAGATGGTTTTATTTTGCATTTCCCTAGTGGTTAATGATGTTGAAAATCTTTTCAGATGATTATTTACCATCTAAATTACTACTTACTCCTCTAAACTACTATGGTGATTTCTTTTTTTTTAAAAAATAATTTATTTTATATAATTCTTACATAGTTTTTCATTTTCGCACAATGTATGCATTTTCATTTTGGTTATATTCCCCATACAATTCCCACCCCCCTCATTCTGACCCTAATCCCTCCTCTCCTCCCCCTACCCCCCACCCCTCCATAGTGTGTCTCTGATCTATAGTTGCTTGTTGATTTTTTCTTTATTATAATTAGTCTTTTTCCTGGTCCCTTATTCAGGTTTTCTAAATTTCTGCTATGAGTGAGACCATCTGATATTTTTCTTTTTCTTTCTGGCTTATTTCGCTCCATCTAAGTTGCTGCAAATTGCATGAGTTTATCTTTTTTGAATGCTGAGTAATATTCCATGGTGTATATGTACCACATCTTCTTGATCCAGTCATCTATTTTTGGGCATTTGGGTTGTTTCCAAAGCTTAGCTATTGTAAATAGTGCTGCTATAAAGATAGGGGTGCAGGTGCCCTTTTGAATTAATGTTTCTGTGTCCTTCGGGTAAATATATAGTGACTTCTGAAATGACCTCTCTCAACCAGCTGCCTTGCTTTGATCTATTTTATGCATTGTTGGAGACTCACTCTTGTGGAAGCAGGGGTCCTTCATGTCCCTCTCCATATCAGCCTTTTGTTTTGAGCTGCCTGACCAAGCATTCAAGCTCTTTCATGGAGAAGTTGTAACCCACCTGACTGAAGTTTAAAGTCCCCTCACACCATTTCTGTACTTAGGGCTCCATCCAGACTCAATTATACACTGTTCCCTGATGCTTTGCTACATCTATGAATTTCCTCACACTCTCATCCAGTTACAATACCCTTTGCCACCATCTTTGAGTGTTCACATTCTGTCAGGGCGAGCCTGACATAGTTTTATTTTATTTTTTATTTTTAAAAGCCACCTCTTTTACCACATCTATCCTAGTAAAAATTAATCCTACCTTCCCTAAACTTCTGTAGCACTTTCCACTTTCAGAGTAACTGGGGTTCATGCCTTGGCTTTCTTACTGGCCTTGAATCCTCCAGAACACGTTATCTTTTTGTTTGCAACCACCAAGCTAGCACAGGACTCCATTATCATATGAAAAAATGAATTAACACATGAAAAATTTCTCACCGGCAACCTGGCAGTTAATGGTAACGTTCACTCCCCGCACTGTTTTGATGATGCCACCCACATCCACCGTGATGGCAGGTTCTTCAGTGTTGATCACAGTCATTCGCGATGCTTTTACTAGTGGCTTCCCTGAAGGGGAGAAGGAATAAGAAATTTTACTACAAGGTGGCGGTGGACCTGGAACACACCCTTGAAATATGGGATGACTGACAATGGACAACTGGCAGACCCAGGATTTTATCCCTAACCATGTTTGACTTTGAAAAACTTGTAACTGCACTACCCACCTACCTACACACCTACCTACCAACCTACCTACCAAAGAATTATTAGGAGAAAAAAAAAAAAAAGGATTGAAGAATCTGAGGAATAGAGCATGATTTCCAAATGTTGGGCTGGTCTATACATTTCATCATTAAATGAACAAATGAGTCTATACATTAGATTTTTAAAGGCTTATTTTTAAAAATCAAACTTTTAACTTTGGGATAATTGTGGATTGACATGCAGTCATAAGAAACAACAGTGAACAATCTGGTGTACCTTCTCCGCCCAGTTTTCCCCAAAGTAACATTTTACAAAACTAGAGTACATTGTAATAGCAGGAAATTTGACATTGATAAAGTTAAACTAAAAAGCATTACTATCAGTTCAAGGAATCTTTCTGCTTTTGCTAATCCTACCTTCATCCCTTGGCAACCATTAATCTGTTCTCCATTTCTCTAATTTTGACATTTCAAGAACATTGTATAAATAGCACATATAGTATGTGACCTTTTTTGAGTGGTTATTTATTTTTTTGCTTAAAATACTTTTCTGGAGATTCTTCCAGGTCTCAAGTGGTACCACAGTTTTATATGTCATAGTTTGCTCCCTTTTATTGCTGAGTAGTATTCCATGGTTTGGATACACCACAGTTTATTTAGCCAGTCACCTGGACAGACATCTGGCTGTAACCAGATTTGAGCTATATAAATAAAGCTGCTATAAACATTCTTGTACAGGTTTTTTTGTGTAAACATAAGTTTCATTTCTCTGGGATAAATGCCCAGGAGTGCAATTGCTAGGTCATGTGGTAGTTGCCTGTTTAGTTTTTAAAGAAATGGCTCTATTGTTTTCTATGGTAGCTGAATCCTCTCACATTCCCACCAGTAATGTATGAGTGATTTAGTTTCTCTGTGTCCTTGCCACTATTTCATGCTGTCACTAATTCTAATTTTAGTTATTCTTTTAGGTGTGGCAATCTCAAAATGGTTTTGATTTGCATTTCCCTAGTGGTTGATGATGCTGAATGTCCTGTTAGGTGATTATTTCCCATATTTATATCTTTGGTGAACTGTCTCTTCATGTCCTTTGAATATATATCCTTTCTTTCCTTTGCACTATATTTTTTTAATGGAGGGAACATTGGCTTACAACTCTGTATATGATTCAGAGATACAATTCACACCTCTTCAGATGTATGTTACCATATGGCATTTACCACACAGGCACCCATATTCTACTACTGCAGCCCATGGGGCCACTCCCCTCTTTGTTTGTTCCCCTTCTGGTAGCCTCAGTTCTATAGTCAAATTTCTAGGGTTTGCATTGGTTTGGTTTTGTCTGTTCCCACCTCGACTTTTATTTTTCATTGTTGAGTTTTGGAAGTTCTTTATATTCTAGATACCAGACCTTTGTTAGATATGAGATTTGCAAAGATGTTCCCCTAGCCTGTAGTAGCTTCTTTTTTTATCTTAACAAGATCTTTCACAAAACAAAAGTTTTTAATCTTGATGAAGTCCAATTTATCAAGTTTTTCCTTAATGGATCATTTTGATGCTAAGTCCAAGAACTGGTTACCTATATGTAGAACTTAAAGCTATGTCCCCTAAAAGTTTTATATTTGTCTGCGATATGCTTTGAGTTAATTCTAATATAAGGTGTGACACTTGGGTCAAAGTTCATTTGTTTTTTTGCCTATGAAAAAGACTAATTATAAAGTAAAAATCAAAATCAATAAGCAACTATAAACCAGAGACACACTATGGTGGGGGGAGGAGGGAGTAGGAGCAAAACAAGGGGGGGTGGGAATTGTATGGAGACTATAACCAAGATGAAAATGCATACATTGTGCAAAAAATGTAAAATTATGTAAAAAAATATTAAAAATGTTCAATTGCTCTAATACCATTCATTGAACAAGCTATCTCTTCATTACTTTTGCACATATGTCAAAATAAGTTGGGCACATTTTTGTGGATCTCTTTCTAGGTTCTTTTGCTTTGTTTTGTTTCACTGATTTATGTGTCCGTCTCTCTACCTATAAATGCAGTCTTAATTATTGTAACCATATGATTAATTTTGAAATTGGTTAGGTTGATTCCTTCTACTTTACTATTCTTTGCCTCTCTACACAAATTTTAGAATAATGTCAAAAACTTAAAATTTTTTCTGGGATTTTGATAGTTACATAAAACCCGTATGTCAACTTGGGGTGAAATGAGATCTTTACTGTGTTGAATTTTCCAATGTATCAATACTGTGTGACTATTTGATTTTTTTTTTTAAAATTGAGGTAACTATGGTTCACAAGACTGTATAAGTTGTAAGGAGTACAGTGTCACACCTTGACAAATGTCTATACCAGACTATGCCCCACCATATAGGCCTGGTCACCATGCACTAGCGTACAATTGACTTCCCTACACCTGCTCTACCTAGCCCACCTCTTCCTTCCTGGTAACCACCCCTGTCACATCTAAGCATTTATTTCTGGTTTGTTTGTTCATTTGCTATTTTTTTAGATTCCATATGAGTGAAATCATATAGCACTTGTCTTTCTTTTTCATTTCTTTTATCAGAATTTTGTAGTAAACTACATACATGTCCTGTGCACATTTTGGTAGACTTTACACCTAATTATTTGGGGATTTTTTGAAGGATATTCATTGCTACTATACAGAAACACAGTTCTCTTTTATATATCCTGTGACCATGCTACCCTCACATATTAGTTCTAGGATGTTTTTGCTAGAGTTCTTAGTATTTTCTAAGTTGGTGACAGGGACAAATTTTATTTTTTCCTTTCTAATCTGCAGGCCTTTTATTTTCTTTTCTTGCATTATTTCACTGGATTGAACTTCCAGCACTATGTTGAATAAGAGTGGAAAAAGTGGGCTTTTGGAATGACAAGTGATTTTCAACTGAGACACAGATATTTCATATTGTATTATGAAACTCTGGATCTTATTTAAACCTGTTTTAGCTAGCTTTTCCCCCTGCTCCCTTTGCCTCTGGTAAATACCATTCTATTGTCACAATCTTACTCAGAATGGGGAGCAGTTCTTGGAAACTGCAATCTTTAGTGAAACAACATATTATGGAACCATGCTATTTTACTATAGACTAGTTGATATAAACAACAGTAACAATACTATAGCATATTTCTGGTGACGAAATGTCACAAAACTTCTAAATAAGGACCCTAACCACATCTAATATTAAACAATAAGTTGCCTTCATTCATTCCTTCATTTTCTAGTCCACTTATTCCAGCTCAGGGTCATGAATGGCTGGAGCCTAGCCAAGTAGCTAGGGAGGACCCAACTCTAGACTAGATACATTCAAGCAGTCACACATTTACCCCCACTCCCCTTAGACCAGAACACAGACACACCAAAAAATCCTAACGTGCACATCTGAAGAAAACCTGAAGAAAACCCAAAGAAGGGGGAAATATGCAAACACCACACTGAGCATGGATAGGATGGGAATTGATTTTGTTTCTCATCAAGTGACAAGGAAACAATGTTGAAGGAAATGATGTTTCAGGACCTGCTATGTTGATCTCATCTCCCTATCCATAAAAAAGCTCCTCAGCTTTAATTCCAGATACACTTTAATAAATACACTTTAAATATAACCATGCTGTTGCTTTACTCCAAAGCTGCCATCTTCTCTGACTGGCCTGAGAAAACTGGGACTCTCTACTTCCTCTCTTCCTTTACTACTGTCTCTTAGAACAACCAGAATAATTTTTTTCCTAAAACACAAGTCAGATCACTCCTCTGCTTAAATTTTCAGTGCCTATTTTTTTCAGTGAAATTAGAAGAAAATTTTAAACTACTTTTCATGACCAACCATCCCCTACATACTCAGGCACAGCTGTCCGCCCTCTTTCCTCACTACAGCCACACTGCTCCATCAGCCACTGTGCTCCAGCCACACTGGCCTTCCATCCTTCTCCAATACATCAGTCTGTCTTGCGCCTTGCTTCCCTTGCCATCCTGTACCTACAGACTTCTGCATGGCTCCGTTCTGTTCCTTTATGTGTCCATGCAAATATCATCTCCTAGTGGGGTCACTTTTAACCACCCCATCTAAAGCATGTGCCCCTCTACTCCCCTGTCAGCCATTGTGTATCTTAACGTAAATTTTTTCTCTGCAAGCAGAACTATCAGATTTCATGTGTGTGATTTCTGCATCCTCTCTGTCCCTGCCCTGCACCTCCACAAAAATAGGAATTATGTCTCTTGTTTTTTTTCTTTATTCCTGTCATCTTCTCCTGACACATAATAGGTCCTCAATAAATATGTAGCACATGACTATATGTGTGCATATGGTATTCTCTGAGCATTATCTGAACTTCCTCTTATTTTTATAACAACTCTGAGAGAAGTAAACAATTTTAATTTTTTATATAGAAAGGAACCAAGGCTCAGTAAGGCACCATACTTTGTCCAAAGTCACAGAGCAAGCAAGCAATATGGCTGAACTAGACCCTAGAACTTTGACCTAAAGTCCAGTAGCTTGTTACCGGGGGCCCCAAATCTTTGAGGACTGGCTCTCTCAGAACCCCCAGGGGACTTGTTAAAAACATAATCTGTCCTGCAATAATATAATAGTTGCCTCACTGTGTAATAAAAACAACAGTGCAGATGGGGAAAAGCAGGTTGGGGACTAGAGAGTTTTCCCTAACAAGACTCACAATTATCAAGTTATTTTTCCTTTAGGAATGTTTAATAAAGGTCGTTTTTATAGCTGCAAGTGTATAGCTATAAAATTCAAATGTCGCTGAATTAAATCCAGGCCTTAATTAATTATATTGAGTTTTTTCTGAGAAGCAATGGCCTTTTGTCCTGTCACTA